CAATAATCAATTTCAAATTCTTATAATCAATATATTATATTTTTTTAATTTATTTTACCATCTTGTTTAGTTTCAATTATATTTTAAACTATTATGATCAATTAATTTTTCAAGATGCTTTTTTTGGTAATTTTATATTCTTATCAGTATGTCTTATCACAAATAGTTCAAAGCTTGACCATTCTACGGAATAAAAGAATAAACCAAACAAACAAAGTATATCTTATACGAAAGTAGAAGTGGACCGTAGTGCTGAATCCCCGAACGGAAACCAGTAAGAACCAGCCCGGTTAGGATCTGATTGGTTAAGCACCAGTGGCTTGCCCACCTCAACCCACAATTCCACAAAACAATAGGAAAGTAATAATAACAATAAGCAGATAAACCAAAATTATTGTATAGAAATAGAACCCACCAAAAACGAGGCCTTTAACTTAGATATGATATGGTAGTATAGTACTTAGTTTAATGACCAAAATGTGAAAACCAGTTCTCTCACAGAAAAAGGAGTAAAGATGTTTAATATTTTAGCAGGCAGCCTTTCATTAGAAAACACTGATTTTAGTTTCCAGAAACAGCTTCCTTGGTCTCTATCAGTTTGATGAAGTTACGAACGATCGTCCGCCCTTCCGTCGTTATAATGCTCTCTGGATGGAACTGTACGCCCTGCAAAATTAACAATTCCACCATGTTTGTTTCGCTTTACTTGGTGTTCTAAAAAACGACCATCGAGAATATTGTGTTCAATATTCGTATATTATTATCTAAATATGTAAATACAACTACCAAAAGGTAAAAATGGGAAGCCTCAAAATGAGAAATCTGACCTGCAAATGGCGATACACTTTGTGACGAGCAGCCATTATTAGTCCATCCTCTGTCCATGCTGTTATCTCAAGTTGATCGCTAGGAAAGCTCTCCTTCTCGATCACAAGGCTATGATATCGACCAACGGTAAATGGGCTGACGAGAAAATGTGAAATGTGAATAAGAGTATGAAAACCAATATACTGTGTTGAGGCAAAAAGTGTCCTAAGCTTATATTTTGCTCACTTCTTCAACACAAAGGCAAGCACATTTAAATGGCATTATTATACTGCAGAAACTATACCGCGTCTCTGTTTAATGAGAGAATAACGATAAAGGACACGAATTAGAATTTTACATCATTGCCGCAGTATTGGATGCTTGCTCATAGTAGCTCTTTGGGAAGAAAAATATCCAAGTAGGATGGATTCATTAAACTAATATATGCTAGAATTCTATAGATATAGGATGGTCATGCAGAAGACTTTGTAGTCAAGAACAATGGAATAAAAGATTCAGTTATCCAGTCATGGTTTTTCGGTAAGATATCATCAATGGCATCAAAAATGAGCGAAAATAACTCCAGCTGAATGTTAGAACCAACTGGACGTACTTTGATATGCCTGCAAACAAACCGTCTTCGCCTCCCTCATTATGGTAAACCAGTGAACTTTTTCCATGCATAACACCAGAAGGAGAGCGTACGATTTTCCCTGAAAAAGTTTCTAACTCATTAGCACAGACAAAAGGAAGGAACAGTTGTTGGCTGCTCTATGAATAGAAAGTTTATGTAACAAGAGTACGCTCAAAGTAGCATTCAGTATAGTAAAGATCACACAAGAGTCAAGCAAATGAATACACTTAAGAAGATGGATTCATTTTTTTATGCAGAAAACAGGAGAAGGGAAAGAAGTAAAGAAGCTAATGATTATAAAGAATCTATAATTCCATAGCTTTCAATCAGGATCCTGTGGCGACTAGTTTGAAGAATGTGACAGGAAGGCAAACTCATTTTAACATTCGATTCTCATAGAAAAAGAAACAAGCTTATAGAGATATAAATCTACAATTTCATAAAAGTTAAATGGGATCTACAGAGCAAACAGGTTGAAATGTAATACACACTAGGAAAATTAGGGTTGAAGAAATCAAATGGTTTGATAGAAGATATAGAGAATGGTTACAGAATAGCTGGCTTTCGAGAGGCCAGTACTCTCCCAAGGTTCTGGCATAAATTAAACACGCAAACCAGAATAAATCCTCCTCACACTCACACCCCTTATTTATACTTAATACCACATACTTACTACCCAAGCATGGCCCATTTGTACCATAGCACTAATTACTTGTAGTTTCCTACCACAGCCTCTTAAACTTGACCCCTTGAAACAACCTACCCCTATTTACTATTTGACTAATTAAATCGGGGTATAACAAAATGTAGGTGACACGGTGTAGCAAACTCTCTCACTTTTGGTTCTCATAGGTTCTACTAAGGCAGGAATATTGAGACAATTTTAAGGTGCATATTTTCGTTTCCTTTATGAATCCTAATTTCCATGATGGGGTTCTAGTAGCAATGTGCAGTAATATAATATAACTAGGCATTCTACACTCTTATTAAATCACTGGAGATTGATCAGTAATGTGTAGCTAAAGTTTTTGATGTAATGCAAGTCCATGTAATTGCTTTCTAGAACATTTTAATTCCGCTCTTTGGAGAGGACCTATGTTGCAAAGATACAGGAGTAGGAATGCACAAGCTTAATACATGAGCACAGGGAATTTTGGCAATTTAAAAAAAGATTTTGGGTTTGTTAATATATATTGAATCAAATGGTCTAAAAAACAAACCATTAAGAAAACCAATCCTCCAGAATTTGTCTATGATGAAAAGTAAGAAATTGTAAATTCATGCTCCCTTCACGGGTAGAGCCCAGACTCTCAAGAGGTCAAGGCTTCAAACTTCACCAAAGGTGAGGATGACGTGTGAGTTCATTTGCCATATATAAATATTATATACTTCAAAAAAAGTAGTCAACTAGACAACAAGAAAAGAAGAATTCCTTGCATTCCCTCTAGAGCCCAGCCTGCCAGGTCTAGCCAATCTAATGCAATCTACATATATAAGATTTCCATTCAGTAAGATAAACATTCTCTGAACCAAACATCCTAGGCTCCCTTTGACTTCGTAACACTAATCCAGTCAGTGTTTCTTCATCCATTCAACAAAATTATGAAAACGGTACATTAATGATCATGCCTTTTTTTGGCAAGGGTAAGAGTTAACATGAAAAGGTCCCGTTACAAGTACTAAATCCCAAGAAATTATATCACATATATAACGTCTGAAAAACTAACCTCCAAAAGCTTCACCAATGCACTGTAATCCCATGCATACACCAAATAAAGGTATATCAGGTCCAAGTTCCAGTACAGTTTGTAATGATATTCCTGAATCTTGTGGTGCACCTGTGAAAAGAAAATCGCACATGTGATACATTGACATTATGTAAGGCAAACTATTAGAGGCAAGACAGGCACACCCATCATCTTACCTGGTCCAGGAGATATAAGAATTCCTCTCGGATTTTTCCTACAAAACAAAACATTACATATTTGGAATCAGTTTCCTACAATCTCCTTAAAGAACATAAACGATAGAAGAATATATGGAAAAATGGAAAAGAAAAAAAAGGTTAACATATAAATAAATCGTGTGTGTGTGTAAATCAATAAAGAAATTATCGAATAGAAATAACATAGCATCCACATGATAAATTTGAAAAAATATAATATCTAATCAAGCTATGAGAATAATTACTTTCTCAGTTCATCCACAGTAAGCTCATCATTTCGATAAACCTCAAAGTTGCATCCCAGCTCTCCCATATACTACAGATTAAGAAGAGGCATTAGCATAACTACTGTGAAGTCATATATCACACCAAATAAAAACATGTTTTTAGTTCACTTTCTTAGCAATCATCTCTATGGATTTTCCAATGTCACCGAGAAAAACTACTTTCTTACAACACCAAATCCATTTCGCTTTTTGCTGTTCTTTAAAATTTCATCAATGCCGACATGTAACAGCTATAAATTAGCTTCACATTGTTGTTCGAATCAGCAATCATGATTCACTTTCAATTACGTCAATGAATGATCCTTAAGCAAAGTGCATAATCTACTTAGCAGTACAGGTACAGATATACATAGGTTATATTTGTTATACACATGAAACATTATGCTGCACATAAAGGCAATGATGGAAGCGGAATGAAGGACCTCTTCATATGCATTTACAGATTGTCTATGAATCTGTGTGTAAGTGAGCGAGAGAGAGAGTTAGGAGTGGCAATCGCACCTAAATTCCCTAGCATGCATGTTTTTAGAGCTGATATGACAACTAATTGTTAAAATGAGTAGAAGCAAGACTAGTCAAAATATGTCAAAAAGTATCAACTATCAAGTGCTAATTAAATGGTCAATCATTTCAACAAATGGTATAAAATGCCATAGGAATCTTCAACCATTTTAGTTTCGCTTGTAGTATTCACTTGTTCCCTAACTGAGATCCATGGTAGTTATGATGAAAGAATACCAAACTGTAGCATCAACTTGTTCAATATAAAATGTGTGGTTGATGGCATGATATAAGTACAAGTGACATGGGAAACTCCCTTTACAAGTTAAAAGGAATGATAAAAAGTGAAAGAGAGAAGGAATGGATTCTACATAAACGGCGATAATTGCAAAAAAAGATGAAAAACTACAGACCAGCATGTGCATACAAAGATTATAAAAATTGGTGAAACAGGTTTCCAGAATGAATGAGCTGTGTTAAGCACGAAGCAATGAAAAAAAATGAGACGTAAAACCATATTTTCATGTTTTTGACGTGCACAACTATTTTTCATAAAACCTTAATTAGACCATTATCATTGGAAAATCTTAACAAGTTCATCCACTAGTCTCATTGGAACCTGTCTAAATCCCCATTGCGGTATGCTTGAGGCGGGTCGGAGTGGCTAACTCTAAAGAAGGTCAAGATGTCTGAGGAGAGAAGACTTAGTGCGATGGTGCCGCTCTATAAGAACAAGGGTGATGCACAAAATTGTAGCAGCTTTTGCAGCCACACCATGAAACTATGCGATCGAGTGATTAATGCCAGGTTGCGGCACGAAATGAAGTTGACAGAGAACCAATTTGGATTCATGCTAGGGAGGTCCACAAACAAAACAATCCATCTCCTCGGGTGCCTTATGGAGAAATATAAAAAACATTGCAAGGATCTTCACATGGTGTTCATAGAACTAGACAAGGCATGTGATAGCGTACCTCGGGGATTGATTTGGAGGATCCTGGAGAATAAAGGAGTACCATGGAGGTATGTAAGGGAATATAGGATATGTGTGTGTCAACAAGAACTTGTGTAAGGACCCAATAGGTGTGACAGTGTTTTCCAATGAAGATGGGGTTACACCAAGAATCGGCACTGATCTTTGTCATGATTCTAGATGAAATTGCCCACAAACTTCAGAAGAGTCCCATCGTGTATGCAATTTGATGATGGTGTCAGCACTGGAAGCAGAGACAAAGAAAAATAGGTGAACATTAACTTGGAGCAGTACGGGCGGCACTGGAGAGTTAAGGCTTGCACATTAGTTGTTCTAAGACCAAATACCTATGGTGCCATTTCACCAAGGAGCATGGGTAGAATTTAACATTGGGGAGCAAAAGGTATCCCAAAAGGAGAGTTGTAACTTTTAAGTATTAGGCTCCAAGATTCAGAAAGGGAGATGTCGATGACAATGTTACACATTGTATAAAAAGGCAATGGTTAAAGTGGAGGACCGCCATAGAAGTGCTGTGTGACAAGAAGGTCCTGTTAGAACTGAAGGGAAAATTCTACAGGGTCACCATCAAACTAACTTTGTTGTATTGGTCTGAGTATCGATTGCTAACACGGTGCATAAAAGGAAGCTGGAAGTTGGAGAAATGAGGATACTAAGGTAAATATGTGGTCAAACCATGTTGGACAGGATACCAAACAGAGTTGGGAGAGCTGGAGTTGAACCATGGATAAACTGAGGAAAGACTGCAATGGTTTGGTCGTGTCAGGAGACAGATGTCAACACTAGTGAGGAGGGTGGAGAACATAACAGTCGGGGGATGAGGAGAAGCTGACCGAGGAGGACATGGGATGGGCAGTTGAGGCTGGGCTTGGTGGCCTTAGACATCTTCGAGGGCATAATCTCTCATAGGAGTTTAGAGACGTAGGACAAGGGTAGAGGATTATTCTAGGGGCTAGGGTAGCGGAATTCTTGAATGCAAGACTAGGGAAGCTGCTGTAGATAGGGAGAGGGTTAAAGAGCCGAAGATAGACTAGCAATCTCAATGTCATTACTTCCAGGAGGGTTAGAGGGGAAGGGGTCTTGGTTTCTTGTACTTTGATTCAAGTTGTTCATTATTTTTGCATTGCTTGTTTTAACCTTTTTGCACATATGTCGCTACTGCCTCTATATTTTATTGTCCTTGTTGCCTACTTGCAAATACCCTTACTAAACTTATCTTCCTCTGTTTCTTGCTATCCAATTTCTTTCCAAAATCTTCAAAAATGTTGACAAACTCTTTGTTTCTCTAATGTCTTTCCAAATCTTTTGACAAATCAAGGGGTCTTGACGTAAAACGGCCTCTCAACCCCTAGGGGTAGAGGAAAGATCTACATACATCCTACACCTCCAAGACCCCACTTCCGAGTGGGGGATGTTCTTGGTAAATTTGGTTTGGTTGGGTCATCCACTAGTCTCACCTCACACCAATACTAGATAGATGTAAAATAATCAGATTAATATAATTTTTTCACTTAAGATCTGCAAAATCAATCTCGGAGGATCAAAATAGAACAGAAAAATCTTTGATTAATAGTAGAATGATAAACCAGGTTGTGTGAAATGCCATGTTATATTTATCACTGGTTTCGGTATATTGTTCTAGTGACTGAAGCAGTAAACAAACATAACTTTTGCTTAGATTTTTTCAAGTAAGCCAAAAAAAAAAAAACACCAAGCCGAATGCAATACCATAAACTTATGCCAAACAAAGAAATGGGGAGAACCTGGCAAAGGTTATAAGTGAAGCTGTCATAATTGTCGATGACAATTATGGGATTGTTATTTTTGGCAAAGACACCCAACGCGCTTGAAGAATTTTTCTCGGAGATAGCATGGCATAGTCTTGGAACAACTGTAGTTTCCTTTAATTGCACACCACATAAGGTAACACCATTTACAGGAAGCAACTGGGAAATCCTGTTGAGATATGGGGTTTTCCGAGGCAGCGAAGAAGATCTTAGTGGAATGGAAGAGTTCTGAGGCAACGTAAAAGCCACCATCTTTCGTATCTTCTGGCAATCCTGCAACAAAAAGGTTCTACATATGAATGTATATGTACTCTAGACATTAGTGTTGATAAAAGTACTGCAAAAAAGATTATGGTACGTGTAACCCATATTGGATTTTCAAATTTTTGAACACATCTTTTACAATATCAAACATCCTGAAATTCGAGCGAGATTTAAAAACAGATCTATAGCAGCTATTGTTTAAATGAGCAATAATACCACATTAACTTCATACACTGTGATAATCTTATAGCATCTTTAGATTGATTTAGACCATATATAAAAACCACATTGCTCAACTAATGCCCTGTGACATTTCTTTAGGCAAATTAATAACATTTCCCTCACTCATATGTTGATTGCTCTATGAATGATTAAGTGAGGAAATACACACACACATATATATAAGAAAAAGCATCTCCTAGGAATTCGGTGGAACACTTTAGCGAGAAAATGTGAAGCATGGAAGTCCAAAAACATGTCTACTGAAACAAAAGAGTATCTTTATAAGTGAAAAAGATTCTAACTTATTTTTAACACCGGATTACCAGAAAAAGAAAATGAGAACAATTTTCTCTGTGGTTTCAAGTTTCATCTATCTTAAGGACTTAGCTAGCTAGCATGCGAAAATTATGTCACATTTTTAGAAGATAACGGGGAAAATACATGCAAGAACCAACAAGTTCAATGATGATTGAAACAACAAAAAGTTACAAAGAGCGAACGGTTGCTTTTTATATTGTCAATCAGGTTCTCACTCTCTCATAGAAACTTTGGAACTGCATCCCATTAATTTTGTTTTATTTTGTACAACTAATCGCATTTGTAAGCTGATTTAAAGCTTCCCATTTGAGATGTTGACTAGCAAACTTCGCCCACTTGCTTTGTGGTGAATCTTTAAGGGGTAGAGAAACCATGTCCTTATTATCCATTTCAAGTTCTATCAAAAAATAAATTCATTAAAGCAAAGCTCTTTACATCAAAAGGTTTTGTCTCACATAAAAAAAGGGATATAAAAGTTTCCAAATATAAGACTGCACGGTGTTCGTTGTCACTGACTACTGTTTTTTTTTCCATTAACACCTGTCTGTGCCGGTTCGAACCATGTAAATTACTATTTTACCCCCTTTGAGCCATTGCTTTTTAAGGCACCATTTGATATAGTCCACAATTTTTCATAAGGGTAGAACCGAAATATCGTATAAATCAGAGGTAAATTCATAAAAGTTATAAGCAATACAACCATGCATAAAATCTGGTAAACTTGTCCACGAATCGTGCTTGCATATGCAAAAGGTTTCATTCGAGAAAAATCAGAAACATTTTGATACCAAAAAAAAAAAAAAAAAAGCAAAAGCTGAATAACGATTCGGAGACCACATACTCATATACAAACAATCAATTAATTATCGAGATATTGGATCGATTAGGTTTTCCAACAAAAGAATACGAATTGCTGTGAAAATTTTCAAACGTACCTCAGACAGTTGCACCGGAGGAATTTAGGGTCTGGGGCGGCCGCCGCTTGGTCGTCCGTCGAGAGGAGCTAATGCCTCAGGCGGTGGTACCGCCTGTAGACTGTTCGAGTTTACGTCAATGTATAATCGGAAGAACCTTCCAATGAAAGCTCCGATGGAAATTGGAAATGGTGTAGTGATGTTGTTGAGGGTTTTTATAGGTAGTTGATTTGGTTGGGGGTTTTGGTAGGCAGTGATTATGATGGGGGTTTCAATGCGTCTTCTTTTTTATATTCTTTTTGTAAAATTTTATAAGTCGACGTTTATCCATATTTTATCTTTCTTCTTTTAGGATTCCTTTTTTTCTTTGGGTTATTTAAGACTAGAGTTTAACATGATTATTTAAATAAATAAAAAATTGAAATATTTATAAAAAATGATAAAGTCTATTCATTATGATAATCAAGTTAGATAACACTTGATATATTTATGAAACCAAATATATATTACTATTTGTAAAAATTACTTTGTCTGTATTTGATGCTATATATACAGATTTATGTAACCAAACACGGATTTTAGAAAGAAAAAAACTACATCAATTAATGTTTTTAAATAATATGAATAAAACAAAGTTTTTTTATTATTACATATAACTTAATTAATTAGTAATGTTTTAAAAATCTAATAATTGAATTAAATATTTTATTAAAATCAATTAGAACATTCTAATTATTTATGAAACAAAAACATTACATAACTTACAAAAATATTTTTAAAATGTTATATTTGTTCTTTAACAACTAAATATATTAAATAATAATATAAAAAGAATTACTATGATTAATAATAATTCTAAATAATATCGTGAGAGCAAGATAAGGTGAACATATATGTATCATAATATGGGTATGAGTATAGTATATGTACAAACACGCAAGTGAACTATAACCTTTTAAATTGAAATGCATACGATGTTAAATGATTGCTATTATGAAATGACATACCTTATTGGTATATGTTTATTGCAATCATTAATTGTGTTAAGGTTTTGTTTCTACGAGTTGCGTTAGACACTAACTATACCTGCGACTGATGGGTTGTACTTGGGTGCTAATTATATGATTGACAGATTGTGTCTGGGTCAAGGTGTCAATTACATGTTCTGACAGGTTGGGCTTGAACACCAACTAGGCTTACGAGCAATTGGATTGTACATGAATGTCAACTATATGTTTACGACTGAATTATATGGTTTTGTTTATTAAGATTCATTGATAATCATTATTTCGTTTTCATCTCCATCTCTCAGACCTCACTCGAACACAAAAAACCAACCTCTTGTCTTCATCTTCTAAGCAAACACATACACACACTCATAACCTTCTGTTTTCATTTTCGTGTCTTGGCAGGGCAACCGGTTGCAACCATGGCAGTGTCTGATCCCCTTTGTCCGAGTCCATATTTGCAAATCCGATCTCAAAAAAATCAAATCAAACCAACCCTTGTTCCAGATTTGCAGATCTGATCCTTGCAAAAACCAGAACCCATTTTTTCATCCAAACCTTGAATCTTGAAGCATGTTGATTTTTGTTCGAATGGAGATGCAAAATCTAAAAGCATATTGGATTTGACCTAAAAGTGGGTTTGCAAAAGATATGTTGGATCTGACCTAAAAGTGGGTTTGCAAAAGATTTGTTGGATTTGACAAATAAAACATAATCTTGGTTCAACAGATGATACAATTACAAGTGTCTGAAGAAGAAGAATAACACCATTTCATCCCCTAAAAGTTGGAAATCTTATAAAAATCCAACTTCTTTTTTACCAAAAGCTTAAATGGAAAGGCCAACTCTTAAGATTTTACTACATAAAACCCTGTGGTTGTGCCAAAACCATCACCACCGAACCAAACTAAACCAAACCAAACCAAACCAAATCAAATCGAACCAATAAAAGACTTTCCACCTCACCAACGCTAATCTTTCCAGTATCAAACTAACCAAAATTACAGTAGCCGAAGACTGCCAGTCATGATTTCTAGTCAGCAAAAAGTAGATTTAATCTTGACCATCTTGACTCTCATCCTTCACAAGTCTGACCATGTCATCGATTCGTAATATTGTAATAGCTGCTTCGGTTGCAAACTGATAAAAAAAAGTGAAACTTTCTTTAGTCTTTAGTACTTCTAGGATTCATGTACATAAGACATTTTTTAACTACAAAACATTACCTGTAGGATCTTGATTTTGCTCATTGCAGGTTCAATCACACCAGCTTCCAAGTTGTTACGGGTGGTACCCTTTACTAGGTCCAACCCCATGCTGCAATTCAAATGCAAATAATACATCATCATCGAGGGACATTATTCCAATAATATACGAATATAACTGCAAAGATTAGACTGGCTACTTCCGCTTAAAATAAGGCACCAATCCTTTGGCCTTCCTAGTGTCCAAAATGGAATTGCCCCAACAATCACAAGTGATGGGTCCCATAACCTTCGTCATCCACAACAAGAAGCCTATCCCAAACTAGTTGGTGTAGGCTAATAATCAAGAGTTCAAGACCAATGAAAATTATAAGATGCTGCAACCCTTGTAGCAAATGTAAAAAAGGTGACCCTCCTATGACATTGGGACAAGAATTTAGTCCTTCCACACGCCTGTCCAACACCCTACACTTACTATATGACTAGGAACCTCAGCAATCTCTCCTGTCTTTCTGTAAAACTTATCACAAATAATAGAAGACGTCATTCTTAAGGACTTGTCTGGTAATGCCGACCAAATATCCCACTCACCTACCCTGCAATGTTTTCACTTGAGAAAGCCCGTTTGTTTCAACTTGGACTAAAATATAGGGTTACCCAAACCCTCCAGGCCTCCATTCGCATTAAAAACTCGTCTAGTTGCATCAATCAAAACCATATCATTGAGAAGGATCATACACCATGGTATATCCCTTAAAATTCCAAAAACAAACTTAACCTGTTTCACTTTCTTTGTTTCTTCCCTTCTTAGGGTGGGTTGTTTCTTATTCACATCCACGTAGCTTATTTCACAACTTGAGGTATTAACTTCACATTCATCAAAACAAAACCCTGCTATGAATATCTGAGCTATATACCTTCACCTAAGACAGAATGTATAAAAATACTAAAGGAAGTTCTTAAAGGGACATAGCTAATCAATGAACTCATTTCGGAAACGATGCCTTAAATCCAAACTTTAACAGCAAAGCATCTATTTAGGAAACAGAGGTTTCAAATGATTCCCCCCAATTTGCCAACTTTCACCACATTACGAGTTAACAGGTCACAATGTTGATGATGACGCAACCCACTAAGAGGTTTAGAAATGTAAATTGAAAAATGAGACCAAAGAAGCAGAATATTACCTTGAGAGATGCTTCTTATCTGCCTTAGTTTGTGCAGTATGGTGATAGGCACGAAGTTTGGCAACCAAGTCAGTTGCATCCTTTGCAGCATTGACAGCAAGAACCTGGAAGGGTATTATAAGTAGTCATATTTAAACATTTACCCAGAAAACTGAATAGAAAACCTTCCTCCCTAAACAAATGATCCTTCCACGACGAACATACAAATATATATATATATATATACATATATATATAATTTCAATATCAAAATCACCATAATTCTCTTTTAACATATAGTTTACGAGAATAAAATATCTTTTTGGCACCATCCCATAAAGACTGATATTAACAGATCTCATAAAAAAAATCGAGCTATTGCATGTGAAATTTGATGTGCATGCATTTTGAAGTATGTGATTTAATAAGCTAAAACTGATGAATGATGATTATAAGAATAAGTCTATTTAGAAAGGAAAAAATTGTAGCAAAATTATAGTAAAATATTTGCAACCAAAGAATTTAAAATTTGCATAAAATTTTGGAATACACAAAAAAATACATTCTAATTCATGGCAGAGATCATGTATTTTAAAAATAAATTAGTAGCACAAAACCTTTGGAATGATCAACAATGATTCAGCAAATTCTGCAATTGCCAACTGCTCCCGAGATCCTAAAGTTGTAGCAAGATACTCCAAATAGACAGATAAGGCAGCCTCCACTGCACCTCCACCTGCAACCACCTGCTCAAACAAAATTTATGGATCCACACTATTAAAAAGAGAAGACATCAAATTCTAATCCATCTCATGGTGTAAAATGAGGATGTCTGAAAGTCTACAAACTCAAAACACCAGCATAGCCTCAAAATGACAGGATACACAGGATTCATTGAAATGGGTCATATTATGCTGTCCATGTAGCACAAGGTACCAGCCTTTTTAACTAATTCAGTCATGTTCATTTAAGTTTAAGAAGTTCAAACAACTATTTAAGAGTTTGATCCTTGTACAAGAAAATACGTGAATATCACATTTTCAGGTGGACCAACAAAATAAAAAAATGTCCACCATTAACGAACCAACGACATCAACATTTGTAATCAATACATTGTACATATTCTGAATCAAAGGCAGGAACCATTTTAACCTATTGCAACCAGCATTGATTTTAAGATAACGGAAGCAGTTTTAGATAATGGAAGAAAGAATGTGCATTACGCCATGTATTGATGTTAAAAATCATGCCAATACCACATTGAAGTTTACATATAAATGTGGCCTTACCGCATTGGATTCCAGAGTCCTTTTGACAATACATAAAGCATCATGCAAAGCCCTATCCATCTCATCAAGCATGAAGTCATTAGCACCTCTGAGTATGAGGGAAACCTGTTTGAATGTAACCCAAGAAAAAAATCAAGATAAAAACAAAATATGCACTTACGAAGACACTACTATAAATAAGAAATCACAATATGACCTTCCAGTGTCATGGTTCTTGACATTTTCTAAAGATACAGATGATCGACATACTAACATGGTTTTGGTTTTTTCACCTTGCACTTTACTTTTTTGTAGAAAGTAGGCAACCCATAAGTACACCATAATGACGTGTTAGCACTACAGACTAGAAAATTTTGAAGTGTTCAAACATTAATATTTGTAAACTAACATATCATTGTCATATCCTGTTATATTTTCCAAAAATTCCAATAAAAAAACATATGAGATTAGATGGATTTTTCAATTTTCTAACATCTTCTGAAGTGAAGTTCCAACTGTACTGCCCCAATTCCACAGCTAAGGCCCACATTGAATTTTTTACAAAAATTAAAAAATAAATGTGATTATGAGTGGCAAACTAGAGGCTATCTTTGTCATTTTTTACACCAAGGTGGACTCTTTATCATAGAATGAGTGTGGTAATACCAGTAAATAGTGAATCCAGACCCTACAGGGCTAAGTATTGGCATATAGTACAGGGTATGACCGCTCAAAAACCCTCTTCAATTTCATGTGCTTACATCTGTATGGGTTGGAATTTGAACAAAGGTTTAAACAATGCCTTCTAACAACGGTTTAAATAATAATAGCATGAGAAAAAATTTCCTACTTTCCTTGAAAAGTTAATCTAACTTCATTTTCGTCAAACTGACGACCTAAAAACAGAATGTTTATTTATGTTGGTACCTGATGTTTGGAAAAAAAGTATCACTGTTTAGAAGAAAATGGATCTGACAATTGCATGAATATCTTACAGTTTAACAACAAAAAGACTAATTACATACCGCGCTCGAGGTTTTGGTTCCCTTTATCATTATTACATCGTCATCTGCGATGCGCTCCTCTACTACTTCATCGGCATATCCAAGAAAAGATGAATCAAATGTTTCCTCTCCTTCCATGTCCGCAAATGTTGAAACCTGGACAAATGGCAAAAACAGAGGTCCATGTAGACACGGGATGATTAGTTAATAATATCCATAAAGTGGAAATTCCAACACCGAAGAGAATAAGAAAGCTCATCAAGCATCAATAAATACCTATCCACATTGCAGATCAGAACTATATATTGCAAAGGGATGAACTATAAGGTGGACTGGATGCATGAAAAATCAATGTAAAATAACCCATTGGCACATAGATAGCAATGGTTCTATATAACCACAAGGGTGGTGCCTGATTGGTATAAGCTTGGGCTCCAAACTTAAAAGTACCTGGAGGTCCCATATTCAAATCCAGAGGAATAAAAATTCCCCTTGTGGGCACGGAGGTTCAAATGCAGTGACTCTGGGCTACCCACAAAGCAGGTGGTTGCCCTGGGATTAGTCGGCTCGCATAGCAGGTTGGATATCCAGGTTGATATAAAAAAAAGAGGAATGGTTCTATACCCATACAACAGATCATGCAAGCTGCAAGCACAGAGTGGACGACTCTAGAGCAACTAAATAGCCATAGAAGCACAACTGTGAGCATGGGCAGTCGGTCTAGGCAAAAGAAGAAGGGAAAGAGAATAAAAGATTGATCTCCTATTGTAAGCAAGACCCTAATCTAAAGCCAGAATCAAAGGCAATGCCACGGGGAAGTGAAAGGTGGCATGAAAGTAGAATCAGATTCTCCGAAGCAGACTGGCTTGAATTCATGTCATGCTTGAAGACTGCTTGAAAGCTAATCCTGCCATCCTTCTTGCTTGACTGACTTTCAAAAAAAGCAATTCCACCGAGGAAGGATCCATGAAATCCCTCAAACAAAGTTACAAAGATACAAAAACCTGCAGATGTATTTTCTACTTGGCTTATCACCTACTCAACCAAACAGCCATAGAAGCACAACAATAGCCAAGAATAAGTTAGATAACTATAAAATGTAGAGCTCTCTGGGAGACTATGACGTCATCAACCATCATCAAGAGGCTGAAAGAAACCCAACTACCAACTCTTTGGTTAAGAAAATAAGCACATAGAAAGTCCTGTGTCTCTTTGAGGTTTTCCTACATGTGATAATGGAGCTATGCTGTTATATCGGTCAGAATACGAAATATCGGTCAGAACCGATATTCGATATATCGGTTATATCGGTGATATATCGGTGATATATCGGAAATAGCGGTTAACATAATATTTCTTAGAATTATATATATAATATGCATTAATTAGAGTTTAGAAGTCTGAAGACTGAAGTTGAAGTCGAAGTGTGAAGAAAAGTCGAGACTAAAGACTGAAGAAGTCGAGACTGAAGTGTGAAGAAGAAGTCGAGACTTGAAGTCGAAGTCGAAGTCTGAAGTTGAAGTTGAAGTCGAAGTATGATTTGTGAAGAAAAAGTCGAGATTGAAGTTGAAAGTGAAGAAGTCGAGACTGAAGTTGAACGTGAAGAAGAAGAAGATGTTGTGGAAAGATTCAGACCTAATTTAAGTTATCAGCCCAAAAAATCGCTAAATATCGGAAAATATCGCTAAAAATCGCTAAATATCGGAAAATATCGCCGATAATATCGTTCCCGATATTTGAGTTCCGATTTTTTTTTTGGAGCGATATCCGATATATCGCGATTTTAACAGCATAGTAATGGAGGCTCATTGATTAATCATATGGCCTCGTCACGGTAAGTGCAAACATCATATGAACTCAGTAGCATAGGCATATACAGCAACGTCTTTGTAACATACATGCATCCAATATGAAGTATCATCAGGAATATCCATCCTAGTCACTGTTCATTCAGAAGAGACTTACTGCACCTTATATGAGAAGCAAAAGCTCAAACCAAAAATTCCAGGGGAACACATTAAACCTTTTCCAAGATATCTACTCTGAGAGATGGAAGGCTTCAGAACTTGCTATGCCTCCATTAAATGGGGCCAACTTATTGATCTTCTTTCCTCACCTTCACCCATTCAACAAGATTCAAATATGCTCTCCTGATCGTCTTTGCCTGATTTTATTTTCTCACCCGAAGACATTCTGTTTTCCTTCATTCAACTACAAGGACGCCCCATTCTGTGTTTTTATGCTATAATTCAGATTAGAAACTGCAGATGCCTCATATAGCTTCAGTTATTTCTACTTGAATTAATAATTTACACAAGAAAAATGTTGAACAAGACCCATTGTAAGCATTTTGACAGTAAATACAAAAATGCAGTTTTTGAACTGTTAGACCAGGAGTGAGGTGAGACTGAGAGCAGTTCTGAATATCTTAGCAGAGCATTTGCAGCAGCGCTCTAATTGGTATTGCCTAATGACTACTATATAACTATCAGAGTTTAAGAGATGTCAGATGAGAAACAATAAGCTTCCAAGCATTTAATATAGTTAAGATTTCCATGTTGAGAATCTTACCGCAGTTGCACCAGTTGCCTTTGCAACATGGCGTAAATCCTCCTTCCGCACACGTCTAACAGCTATTGCACCAGCCTCCACAAAGTACTGTACGTTAATGCAAGGAACATCGTTACAAACAATACAAAATTCTTAACATGCCTACAGGCATCAAGAAATATCCTATTAAAATACAGTTATGGCAGCATATAATAGTCTTAACGCAAACGAAACAGACTAAAGAATATAAAGTGCACCCACATGCATAGGAATTTGGTTGCGCCATACATCCTACCACTATGGCATACCATAAATGTTCACAAATTTCAATAGAAGCTTATGATCTGCTGGTCCTAAATCTTTTTTTCCTGCAAAACATATCTCCCGCCTAATAACCTTTCATAGTGGTCACACATGCATAGGAATTTGGTTGCGTCGTACTCTAGTTATGCACACAACCTTAGTGGAAACATTGGAAGATAAATTTGGGTATGCCCTTAGTGAAAACAAATTGCTACATATTCCCTTGATTTTGATACCCTCTGGTATACTTGATTATATTTGATACTTTGTGATATTGCACGTTGTAAGTTGTAATGATTTGATTTTGGATAAGTAGAACTACTAACCACCTATTGGGGTACCATAGGCACATCATTATGGCACCAACAGCGCAAAGCTACCAGTGGCAGTGTGATGAGTTCATGGTGTCTCCTCTTTCGTGCTCTTGTCTTGGTGTGACGAGGATTTTATTTAGGAGGCGTATTGGTCGGCCCTAGCAAATTTGATTTGCTGTAGGGCAGATGTCGGTGCAGTGTCAATGCCACATCATACATTTTGGTACGTGTGGCTCTGCAATCCAAACTACATGGCTTTATGTCAGACACTTGTGGTATTGCTTCGTGTGACATGACACGCAAGCGTATGCGTTTTCGAGCTTGTTTCGTCCCACTATGTGATTGATTTGAATCTGGTATTTGGTTATGTTTGGTAAGGTTTTGTACTCTTATTTGCTTGAAACTCGTGGTTAATATATATACACACACAAACACACACATATATATACATATGTGTGTGCTACGCGTGCGGCTCGGCCATTTCCTCTCCGCATCAAGTAATAGGGGGGTTCCAGAAACTAAATGAACAAGAGTAGATCAAGCTCGTGATTCAGGAGTATTTGAGAGGTTTATCACCGTTTTAGTTACTATTTGCTTTATTTATTTATGTTATTGAATTAGTATTTTTCAAAAGTTTATGTTTGGATGGCGTTGGCTGGTTGAAAGACACTTTTGAATTTCTTATTGGGCACTTTGAATTTTGGAGGCTATGTTATGGCTCGATTATGAACTTGAAGGAACTTCTCTTCCTTTTGGAATGGGGGTGTTACAACACACATGCAAAACACGCAACAGGCAGCACTAAGCAAAAGAAGGAATGTTCAAGCTACAGCCAATAACTGAAGTTATGAAACCTAGGTGGGTAAGAACTTACATGCTATGATAACTTTTCACAAGCAATGAAATTTACAAACAACAATTCAACCAAAATACAAGTAATATACCTTGAGTGCCATGTCATCAATCCCCTTTGTGGTCAAAATGACGTTAGCTCCAGCCTTGAGAATCTTCTCAATGCGTTCTTTCGTCATATCAGCTTCCCTGAAAGGGCCATAACAAGTAGCGTAAAACTATGCATCACCCCTACCAACATAAGCTCTTCCTTCCGAAAACAAAATAACAACAATAAATAGCAAACAAAAAGTTGATGCATACACCAATTTAATTGCAGTTGGTTACCAAGTTCATCACGCAATAACATCAGTATACAAGAAAGTGGTGACGCAATTTGACTTCTAGAAGCCAATTTTCAATCTAAATGTACAATCCGCACAGATCAGTAAACTTTAAATTATGCAAGACTAAGGGAAAGTGAATGTAGGGCTACACTAGCTATAGTTTTAAGGGAAGTTTGGGCAGCAGGCCGTGCACATGTATGTGTGTGTTTTTGTGTAACTTAATCAACAGGAGCAGCTGCCCAACCAACCTCAGTTTGTTTTCTAAAATCAAAACAAAATTAAAAAAATATAAAAAGTTTACAATTGCACGTTCCCATCCCAACAATGAAAGTGTATCCATTTATGGAAGTGAGTATATATATATAAAGATATAAATCCCTCGTTAAAAATCTAGGCACAAAAATAATTTCAAAGTCTTGTCACCTTTGACGGATCTTCTCCAACTCCCTTGGGTCGGTGACTAATACTTGAACCCCCAATTGCATTTTTGTCTTTTGAAGATTAAAGTCGAGACATGCAATCTTTGCAGGAGCAACTCTCATAGGCATTCCTTGTGCTGCACGGCCAGTATTAAGTGCATAGCCTTTTAACAAGTAGCTCTCCTTAGCACTTTTACCATGAGCTTTAAGGATATTGATTCCCTGAAGAGCATAATGGTATTTAATAGATAGAATTTTTGCAACAAGAAGCATCGCATAAAGTCTTGTTCATTTTATTGAAACGAACCTTGATTGGATACTTAATTTCACCCCGTGCATTGGTCATTTTAACGGACTGTACAGCTTCAACAACCTACAATATGCAAACAGTCCATATCTTTAGTATCAAAAGAATCACTCATTTGTCCCACATCAAATATTTCTTTCAATATTGTTTGTCCGGTTGCCTTGCAACAGCACAACACAGAGCTACCCCTAATCATCAACCTGCGAAACACTCCAAAGGTCCCAACATATACTAAAAACATGAATGTTCTAATTTTCACTCTCTATATGCTGGAAGGGTGCATGTAAAGTGAGACTAAACAAGTATCTTTAAAATGAGAACAATAAGCAACAGCATCTATCTCCATGTAATAAGAAAGTGAGAAACTAACAAACCCAAAAGAAGGCACAGCCTTCGTTAAACATATCTAAAACATTAAAAAAAGTTCAATCTTCAATAATTCAAAAGCATACCAAATTGGCAAAGAAATCACTGTCACTCGCTAACAATTTTGAGGACATGCTTGTCTTGGCACAGTTTACAAGAGAATCTTTTCCAAGCTTTTCAACCTACAAAATGCAAAACAATATACCAGTTAAGATAAATGAAATTTAGCATTGATCTAATCAAACTAGAGAAAGCATCTTCCTCATCATGCATCATGATGCAAAAAGTTGCAAACTTGCAATACATTGTGAAGATAGGACATCAATTTAACACAATCCCCATGCATCAGCAAAATCAATACTAGTAAGAATCAAGATTTGCATACTCCCAAATTACTGGCTAAAGATCGTTACCTTAACTGCCAGCTTTTCATCAACATATTTGCATGCTTCTCTCATTGCAAGCTGCCAATATAAAGAATGCTATATGTGAGCATGAAAATTATCATAGAGATATTCAAATCATTAAATCTTAACCACGCAATTATCAAGCATTTGGAGAGCATGATAGACAAAATGGTGAATTAAGAATGAAGGGAAGCAGAAAAATTCAAAGAAATGAAGAGCACTCACTCTGTATCCACTAATGATGGATGTTGGATGAATCTTATTTTTGACAAGATCATTCGCTCTCTGCATAATTATCAAAAGAGTATCATTGCTAAGCATGTTATCAATTAACTCCAGAGTTACATTCTGCCAATGTTATCCTTCCATAATCACATACTGGTCATAACAAAGATAAATGTGCTAGAAAATAACACCTTAAGTAACTCGGCTGCTATGATGACAACAGAAGTAGTACCATCTCCTACTTCTCGATCTTGAAGCTCAGCCAACTCAACAAGTACCTAACAAACATCATGAATTTAAAAAGATCACATATTTCAAATTGACAAAGAAAAATAGTTTCATTATATAAATAAAGTAAAAAAACAATCATCAGGAGATACAATTCTCCATGTTCCACCTTGGCAGCTGGATGTTCAACATCCAACATCTTGAGAATTGTGGCACCATCATTTGTAATGGTTACATCCCCAATATCATCGACCAACATCTGAAATACAAACTCATATCAACAACCATCAGAGAATAGAATTTTCATAAAAATGCAAAGATGGAAGTATTTTAAGAACATTAATGAGTTATATAAGTCCAACAGTCCAAGTCAAATTGATAACTATCTAACTGGTAACTTTTATTCTAAAGACGTACTTGATAATTACAGGGTAAGAGCACAAACATCGATATATGAGGTAATTCTTTCGAATCTTAAGAACGTAAACTTATCACTAAATCATTAACCTATCCTACAAAAGAACGAAAATGAATATTACCCTTCATACTCCATTATACCAATTGAGTTTCTCTCAATATATTTTTTCAAAGGGTAACTGTAGACCCCTAAATTTTCCTAAGGAAACAAAAAATTTACTCATATTTAATTATTTATCTTTCCTAAAGTACATTAGTTCAAGTATCATGACTTCTAGTCAAAAGACTTCTGAGCGCAAGGGTCCCATTTGTTTATACTATTTTCTTTCATCCTCCATTTTTGGGTTCATCATAGGTTCTCCATCTTCAAGTAAATAGAACCCATATGAAAAGAACACGTAATGGCCAAAACCAATTGGACCTAAGTGTTTTTTGCCATCTCATAGTAGCAAAAATACATGCAGGCTAAGCTTTGCTCATTTGCTACCTCCATCTAGTGATACAGTCTTAAAAGCATACAGATTGGTCATTGGTCTTCAAGATTCACTATCATTTAGATTAAACCATAACTTCAACATCTTAGGGAAAAGCATGGCATTACGCGTTAAATCTTCCCATGGTAGACTTAAGACAATCAGTACTCTCTCATGTGCTTAAAACATCTGGTAAGAAACCAGCTACGTCCATGACTGACAAAGTTCAATTGCAGTTTATCTTAGTTAATGCCATCAGGAGATACATTATACATATTACAAATTTACACCTCTTGATTTCAAGGTTGATCTAAAAAAATTATCCATCAATAATTAAAGCTAGCCCACTATTAAATGCTAGAAGTATTCAAGATCAACTTGAAGCAAACACACTTGCCAAACAACAACAAAGTGTATGCTAGACAACCCCAACAATAAGGCAACACACATAGTCACATCCCCCAAGGGAACAAATGAAACCCTCCCCCATTTCTGAGAAATTACAAAATGTCCGATCGTAGGATTCACACATGAATAAATCCCCAGCATCCTCCTGGTCCTGGAATCATAACATTTCTACAAAACATAGAACAGTATAAACAAAAATCAAATGTCCCGCTTAGAAAAAAATTCTGGTGTTCTCTTCAATGGGTTTCATTTTTAGCCTACCCAGCCTAGTTTCCATTGTTTTTCTTCCTCCTGATACAAGCTTCAGAATTCAATTGGCAGGCAGAAACAAACATAAGTACAATACGTGAATGCAGAACAGATATAATAACAAGATTGGATGCAAAACCCGCACATCTTTGTAGAAATATAAGAAAGGCTAAACCAAAATATCAAAAAAGAAACTTCATAAATCAGATATGAAGATGCCACATACCTTGTCAAGTCCAACAGGACCAAGTGAAGTCTTCACTATATTTGAAACAGATTGACAAGCCGTAACTACACCAAAAGAATCATAAACAAAATCGTTCGTGTTATACATTTCAATGCTATTAGGGTTTTACAGAGTGCGTTTTTAACTTACTGTTTTGGGTGCGAACATCTTGACCAGACTGACGATCCCCAAGAATATCAAGCGTCTGCGAACCACCCATCGACATCGAAGGAGATCTTAATTATAAGCGGATCTGAATGTAATGGGATTTTTCCAAGAACCCTAACACCACGCTGCAACTCTTTGGAAATGTGTAAATCTAGTAAACCCTACTACACTTCGCTCCACTAAAGCAGCAGGTTCTCTCCCTCGTAAATCGGTATCGGCTTGTTAACTCCTAAACCAAACCGGGCCGACCCGGAGTTCAAAATTTGTACATTTTATCGGGTTTTTGTGAGATTTTATTGTAGATTGATATAGAAATACTTGAAGGTATTCATACAATATAGTAATATATATCTTGATTTTAGTGTTTTTTTATCTTATGTTTATGTTATAATACGATTTTATATGATTATGAGAAAGCGATAATGTATTTATGTTAACAAAATATAAATTTGAAATTCTCATAAAAATTTGAGAAAGTTTATTGATGTTAGTATCAAAATAACTATTTAAAAGTTCTCGTTTTTTGGCCTTATCTTGCAGGCGAGTTGACAGCAGAGAAAGACTAGGCATTCAGGCGATCCCCATGCTTTCGCACCGCAGCGTCGGTATGGAGCCAGAGAGTTGCCTTTGATGGGTGGTGTGTATAGGGTCCGAGTACATATTCACCGTGATACATCGATGTAAAAGATTGATCCATTTGGATCTTGGTCTGTGATGGTTATTCCTTATTGGCATTGCTCTGTAACAGTTTATTTTCTTCTAATGGTTTCTGTCATCAGAAATTCTGTTCTTAGAGGAAGTGAAAACAGACTAAAAAGGATAGGAAGGAGACTCGACCTTAGGCGTAATTTGTTTAATTCAATTTTTTTTATTATAATTTAATAACAAAGTAATTTATTGTCGGTTTAATAATACAATTTTTTTAAGATAATAATTAAATATTATGTTAGAACTCAATGATTATCTGAATTATATTTTAGATTTTTTATATTTAAAATAAGATGTTTATCATGTATTTGATTGTGTTGTTCTTATTACATTTTCTTCAAGCTATATTTTGATTTTTTTTATATACAAGTTTACATAAAACGTATTTTATGATATAATGGTGTTACAATTGATCATGTTAAAAGCAAGTTAAGGTTGAGAGGTAAGTGAATATGGGAAGAGATGGATATAAGTCGAGAAAACGACGACGTGTTATATATAAAATGCAAACCAAGTTATTTGTACATCCGTATAAATTATCCTCATCTGTCGATTTCATTGATACAATGATTAAATTATTAATTATATCAACAACAACAACAACAAACAGTTATCATTGATTATAAGAGGCCATAAGCCAAAAATGCCAAAAAAGTTATAGTTCTATTTGCAACAAGTGAATGAAATTACGAAAATACTGTTATCTTATCAATTTGGTTAACTGAAAATCATGGTAATTAACAACTTCCTAATTTAACAGGTATTTTTATCGTTAACCGTTTAATTATGTTTTTTCTATTTTTCTAATGTGTTATTGTGTTTTTTTTTTTGGTCAATGGTTTAGTTAAAGGCAATTATTTTTATTTCATGTGAAAATGCATTTGTTTCATGTATTTCTCATCTTGATGAAACTGTTTCATTAAGTTGTTCAATGAAATTGTTTAATCTGATTAGATTGTTTCATGAATTTTTTTAGTCTTATTAGATTGTTTTATGAAATTGTTTCATCTGATTAAACTGTTTCATGTAATTTTTTTCTTAATGAAATTGTTTCATATATTTTTGTTTCTATATAAAATTGTTTCATATATTTCTCATTTGATGGAATTGTTTCATGAATCTATTTCATGAAATTAGCATCCATAATAGTGAGAATATTATTTTATTTTTTTACAAAAATAATAATAAAATGTGTTTTCTAATTAAGAGGTTATAATTTAATATATCAAAAAATAAAATGAGGGTGGTTACTGATATGCATTGATTATTCAAGGCATAAAACACACATTTCTTTACTTTTAGGTAGTTTATTTTATTTTATCCTAACCTCGTCTTTTTTATTATATTGTTTTTCATTTGTTTATACTTGGAGCTAAATTAAGTGATTAGCTTGTCTTTGCACCATTAGAGTAGCAAATTCTTAAACTTGAAAAGCCTATTGTTCTGTGCGGCAACATTCCATCAGCATTGACCTGTTAGAAGCGGCTTTTTGGAAGGACTTTATAAATTCAGTTGCTGCTTAAAGAAGAAGACAAACTTTTGTTGAACTTTTGGTTAAAGATTTGAAGATCTGAGTAGAAGACTTTTTGAAAATTCTTTTTGTATTTGATGTGATACTCTTTTTTGCTTTTTCACCCTTTGTCTCCTCTTTTGAAACCATGATTTTTCCTAGACTTTTGTCTTCTTCCGTGGTGTTTTTGTATAAATAGGGCCTCTTGGAGCTCTTTGTGGGATCCCTTTCATGAATTTCAGATATGTAGCTCATTAGCATATTCAAGTTAGAGGTCATTTACCAAACGCTTATTCGAGTAAGTGAACACCAAGTCACATTATCTTACCGGATGAATATGGTAAGGACCAATAATCTCACCCGGTAAAAGCAAGACAAAGACCAAAAGTCTTACCCGATAAGTGAGGACGACAACTCTTACCACGGTAAACTCTTACAGGGTAAATTGTTGCTTACGATAACGTTTTGGTGGACTAAAATATTACCCGGTATTTAATGATAGTGTTAAATTTTACTGATAAACGATTATCGAGTAAGTGTTTGGTAAACAACCCCTTAGTTATTGAATTTCTTTAGAAAGTGTTATTTGATATATATTGTTGCAAGATTGTTCTTACTTTATTTAATTTTCGCTTTTTACATCCAGTCATTAATTATTTTATGTCATTTATATTTATGTCTCTACTTTTTTGTTTTATATATTTTTTGTCATTACTTTCCGTAATAAGTAGCTAATTCCATTAGCTTGGGTGTAAGACAAATGGTGGAATGTTAAACTGAATGAAAGTGGACGTTGTTTCGCAATAACAACGTTCCACTATTTCATTCAAGTTTTTATAAAAACCAATGACATTTTTTGACGAGTTGATCACTCTGAAAGTGTTAAAGTGTCATGGTTTTAGAGATAAGTTATTGAATGCACGTCAACTTGAATGATATGAGAGGTAGACTCAAGAAAGTTGCCGACAAGGAGACTTTTCATTTATATCTTTCAAACTAATTAACTCTCGACAAGTTGGTCGCTTGTTAAAAGTGTTAAAGTATGGTAGATTTAAAGATGAACTACCTAGAACACACACCAACTTGTATGATATATGAATCGGCTCGAAAGAGTGATTTTTAATAAAAAGATTTTTTTATCATATATTTTGAAGGCACTGTTTTGTCACTATTCTTGATCCGGATACCACATAGAGATATGAGTTGAAAGCTATAATATAGTGCAATGGTGGAAGTCCAAGAGAAATACCTTCAAAATAGATGGTGGAACTAGTTAGGACCTACTGCATGTCGTAGCATTCCTACAATATTGTATGCTGAAATTTTTGTTTACATTTCAACACAAGTCTTACACTCATGCTACCATTTTATATTCTGTTATTTCATTATTGTTAACTCAGATCCAACTGAAGTATTCATTTTCATCATCTTAAATCATTTTTTCATTGAACTCTTATTAAGCATTTTTTTCAAACATTTATACTATCTTCGAATTTATATTTCATTCAAAAATAAAAACATTATCACTTTCTCAAAACCACATAAAATCGTATTATATCGATAAAGACAAAACATAGAAACTAAATATTAAAATCGAGATTTATCTCGCTACATTGTATGAGTACCCTTCTAGTAAACAATAATGTATTAATTCTTTTTACTAAAAGTTTAAGTTAACTGATTAGTATTTTTTAATAAAATAATTTGAAAAGGAATTTGTAAAATAAAAGGGGGCATTTGATTAGCAGATTCTGAAAGAACATGTTTGGGGTTGTTCAAAGGACTTCTGTTGATGTTAACCCAAAGTCAAAATAAGAAATAGAAGTTTGAAACCATAGGGACTAAAATAAATTTTTTAACAAATCACAGGGACTAAAATGGTAATTTACTCAAATAGAAAAGAACTACCATGACACCACTTCAGCAATCCCGCACGGCTCCCCATATCCGGCGCGATCGATCGCCGTCTCCTTCCTTTGCTTGAAATCGGGCGACATCCCTTCCCTCTTTAGAAAACCGGCGATCTTCTACTCGAAGAACACCGGAGCCCGGAGGTATCGATCCCTTTCCTTGACCTGCGACGGCGACTTGTCCTCTCTCTTAGTCGAACTCCGACGCGTAAACCCTAATCGCGTTCCTGTTATATTACACTGTCATTATGCATATGTGTTTACTACGGTTGAATATACATGCATAGGTTCTATTCCGATTGCATTCGATCTTCTCCATTTGAAACTAAAACCATTTCCAACTGTTTCCATTCTTGATTCCCTTTTTCTACTCGTCACTCTGTGAGTGAGTTAGATTTATCCATGGTTGGGAGCATCTAAACCGCACAAACCGTCATTGCTTATCATAAAGCATGGTTTAAATCTTTGTGTTACGGTTTGCGTTTTGCATTTTTACCAAATTGTAGTATCCGGTATCCGAAGTTTCTATCAAAGAAGTAGAAAAGTGATCCTAGCACTTCATTTAGTCAAGATTTGCGGTTTTAACCGTAAAATACCGAATAATTCCTCGCATGGTAATGGTATGCTGAAAATAGATGGATAATTTCATAACTTTCACAAATAATTGACAAAAAAGTGCATGTATGAACCCACATGATTCATATATGAAATATATGTCCATATGTGAACCCATACACATTTGAACCCGTGTGATTCACATATGAACTAATTCACATATAAACTATGAGTTTACATATGTACTTGTTTGCCACTTATTTATAAAAGTTACGAACCTACGCTTCTATTTTTTGTATGAATAGTCAAAGCCGCAATTCTTGATCAATCTTAGCCATATGAAGTGTAGTATTGTAAATATGGGGCGAGCATCCTTCTTCAATAACATCAGTAAACAAAGCGCAAAAATGTGAAGTCATACTCCCCTTTGATTTAGGAAATAGAACGACTTTCCTAAGGAAAAAGATCAACCCGGTTTTCTTGCCACTACGAATTCGGTGAATCGTAATCTTCATTTTTAAACTTATCATAAACACTTTGTACAATTTCTACGTAAATTGTGAACATATACTGTTTTCATTTTTACCCTCCTGTTTCACTGATGAACAATAACTAATTCATTGATGAACAATAGTTTGAACACTTGTCAACAACAACCTGCTACTACACTTGCAAATTGCAACACACAATAAAACTGTTGGAAGAGGGAGAGGCGGGGAGATTAGTTCGTGAAGATGAATGGGTTGTTTATTAGAGAAAGAAGATATTCCAGATAAGTGGTAGTGGTGATTTTGTCAATAACGGCAGCAATAAACGGTGACCATTAAATCAAATACCGTATTACGATTATAGCAAGTGAGAGTGAATTGGTAAACTTTAGTTTTGTCCTATCTTATTCCACCTATTGAAAAAAAGCATCTATTGTCCCATCAAGGTCGATGGTCCTTGCCCATGTTGCACCAAGCATAAGACCACAGTGGCTTTTGTCCTTTTTTTGTAATCCCATGTACCAAGCACAACCTATATAAGTTAAGTATGGGAATGTAACTTCAATGATCATTTTAAGTTGACTTAAGAGGAAAAAACTTTTCTGAACCATAGAAACTCATTTTTCACAGCCAAGATTTGAAGTAATAAAGCAATATACCAACATAAAAAGAAAAGGAAATACAAATAATTGTAAGGAAAAAACAGTTATGCTTCTAATTTAGAAACTGTGATTAAAAAAAACCCACAAGTATTATGAGCAACTTTCTAATGCATAATCTCTTAACTACTTGATGGTTTGGGAGAAAATTTTGGCATAATGCAAAGTCGCTATTGCCCAAAGAAATCAAAGCCAGGTCTTCCTTGACCTTCCTTACACACCATTACCAACAGGGTTGTTTTCACGAAATTTTGCCTACATTCGGTACCATTGTTCCGACGTTATCGTTGGCTAAGCTTCCGTTTCTTCGCCTCCTTTCTCATCCGTTCCCTCCGTTCTTCTTCTTCAATTTTCTTAAGCTCTTCTTCGTCTTCCTTCGCAGCAATCCTCGCACTAGATAAACATGGAGAAGTAACAGATTTTGTAATTAGCGTAAACCAAATCATCTATCCAAAAAGACTAGAGTCGTCGTTTCCGTGAAGACCTCTGAATGAGCAAAAAGGAAAGAACCAATATTTGTGAATCTATTAGATCATATGAGGGTTGTTGAATAACCTCATATTTGATACCTAAGTAGTTGAATCATCGTTAGCATGCCAATGCGGTCGTGTGTCAACATGTATATCAAATGCACAACAGCAAGCGCATGGAAGTCGAAAAATACAATGCATTGCTATGCATCTCGTCAACTTAACTGACCTGCGTTTCTCCTCCCGCATAATGTCATCAAAACCAGCCTCCATGTCACTATCATCATCATCATTAGCACCACGGTATCTGTTGGGATTATATCTGCAGAAAACAATCTCAAATCATCTCATTATAAGCAGACTCATCCTTGGTTTCAAGAAGATAAGTGAACCACCCAATCTATATATACGGACGCCTAATTCAAAAATGACAGAAGCATAAAGAAAAGTTAAGTAGAAGGTATGTCTACCCAAACATGCTTCTGATCATACTGATGGCGTTCTCATCTTCATCATCATCATCGAATGGCCGCGCTGGTCTTTTTTGTGGCCGTGGCTTTTGCTGTGCACTAGCTGGAGGTCTCGCTGGTTGTTGCTTTATCTGTCAGTTGTACAATCAAGCCAAAGCATGTTACAGCTCAACCTTTTACGTGGTACTCCCTCCGTCCCAAAATAAATTTCCACATTTCTACTTTAGTTTGTCTCAAAATAGACGTCCACATGAAGAAATGGGAATACCTGAGGCTTAGAAGACAACATGGGCACGGGCTTTCTAATCACGTTCCCCTTGCTGGGTCCCCGATCATCCCTCTTGTGTTCCAAGGGTTTCTTGTGAGTTGCTGGTAGCGGCCTGGAAGGAAGAGGTTTGTGCCCAGTGGGTATGGAACCTCTACTAACTGATGGAGAAAGCACTTTTTGTTTGTTGGCCACTGGCATCTTTGAGGGTAACGGTCTCTGTCCTAACGGCCGGCCAGGACCACTCCCTTCATTTCTACCAAGTTGTTTCCTAGATTCTAGCGATGTAGGAGTTGCTTTACTGGAAGTACTAGGCCTCTGACTCTGTGGAACTGCTTTTGCTCGCATTTGGCTAGATGTAGGCAAGGGCCTCCTCTCATCACGACCATTAATCACTTTTCTAGCACTATTATTCAGTTGTCTTTGTGACGAATGCGCCTCTTCAGCATATCAAAAGCTCAATATAAGTATTTTAAACTAGCGCACTATGAAATGGGTTCTCTCTGGCAAGATTAAAAAAAACCAGGTAAAACTGGAAGAGAAACATACCGGGTTTTGGAGCAGACACACTTTTGGGAGGATTCTTTATAGGAACTGGAAGGTCAGCATCATCCGACAATAGAAATGAGTAATCTCTCGTATCCTTAAGCATCTGGATTTTCGCTTTAGGTTTTGCCTAAAAGGTAAAAACAACGATGTGAAAATATCTGTGGATCAAAATGAACATATTAGTCAGATACAACTAAATCTTACCCAATTGTCTACTTTTCGTGGCTGCCCACTGGGTCGAGGCTTGGAACCTGCTGGAGTTGAAGAACCACCCTTGTTCTGCTGCTGCTGCTGCTGCTGCTGTTGCTGAGAGGCCAGTAAGGAAAATAACTCAGTTGAAATAATTTTGAATTGTATGTATCTCTATTCAGTGGCAGCTTATCACGGGTATTTATATCGCATTTTAGTAAACTACGGACATCATCAGATAGTAAGATCGCTTCAATTTTTTCAAAATGACTTGCAAATGCATTTAAACAAATGTGTGTGTGTATATATATATATACATACATATATGATATATCCAACTACGCAGGCATATTAATCAACCAATAGAATCATGTCTCCAAGTGATACCCCAATGTAGAAAATGTCAGTTCAGAGTCCTAGCTTGTTAAAAGATGTACTGGATATGTGTTTATTTCGCTATCACTAACAAAATAACCTAATTTGGCCTAAGCTATACGGAGTCATGATTGTTTCAAATCATTATAACCGGTGGTCCCAGAAAAGACGATCAACCACCACACATTAAAAGAATAGCGAGTACACAGAGACAACTTGGAACATTTTGTACACAGACGACTGGGCACCCTCTTCTGAATCGATAGAAACTGTCCTCTGAGTTAAAAGAATAGAACAGATGAAGAGAGGAGAAGCGAAGAGAAGAAAATGTAGCATCTCTGTTCATTTTGTCCACCACAAGGCTCATAATAGAAACTGAAACTTGTAACAGAAACCTCAACGGAAATGAAGTTTACTTGCATATTTGTTCCATGCTAGTAATCATAAGCTACAATCTGTTTCAAATTTGGACAGAATTCTAATTTGTTAAGAACCTTGAATTATTACGTGAAAATTGAGCCAGATTGTATGATTTCTCCCCTGAACTGTATGAGAGCCGTTTTGGTGGGGCGTACTAAACCCACTAGGGCACCTTGGCAGTGCGGTCTCCCCCTAAGACCGGGAATAAGGAATCTATCATCAACGTCTTTGGTTCCCGGTGCCCTAAGGGGCAGACAGCTTGCTAGTTAGTGTGAGCCAACGGAAAGGAAAGACTTGTTCCCTTTTTCCTTTGATGACAGAGATTGGAATCAGCTCTTTCAACTGCTGCCTAATCCCCCAACATGCTCAAGAACCGAGAGCATAGAAAGAGTGGATCGCCTCTCTCAAAGTGATATTGCTAGGATAGATAATAATATTATTTCCATGCCGTTGTATATGAACAAGGAAATTCACATATAATATGTGGTGTTAATAAAAATTCAGCTAGATCGATTACATGCTTATATTTGAAACTTTTCAGCCTTCGTAAATAACTTCAATCAATTCCTTGAATGCTATTTATAACCTTTTTATGATATTTCAAGATATGTTTTCTCTTGGTATTCATAATACCCAAAAAACATAAATGGTAGGAAGGAAATGAAGAGCTCTACGCCTCAACTACTGCTAAATGCAATTAAGAACGTGGTACTTTAAGGAGGTCCCCTCGTGTGTTGCCTCGGCAGTAGGATGGCGAGCATCCATAAAGGAGGTCATGGGTTCAAACCTGGACACCACCACTTATTGTGACTCGCAGTGATCCACCTCCCCATGATGACTGTGGGCCGATATAGTGGGGGGTGCTGTGGAGGGTGACGTCTATGGTCTACCCTTTTTGAACATGTTACTTAACGAGCCTGGGCCAAACATGAACAAAGCTGTTCAACTATGGGAGAGAGAAGAAAAATGATTTTTATTCTGTCCAATGATTCTGTCAAAATCAAGGAAGGGAGTGCCTAAGGGTGAGAAAGTGTTGAAAGATCATCATATGTTTCTTAATCAGGCAAAGATAAATGTGGTGTAGAAATTTTTCTCCATAGTTATCGGTTAAAACAAAAATCCTACAAAACATTTTAAATCTGAAGGATGTAAACTACAACTCTATAGAGGATAGAGTATTATCAAAATCCATAAGAGTTTCTCTTGTGAGAAGAGGACACTCCCTAGGGCGTGTGTCCACTATAAATGTAGGTGGCAAGCCTGTTAACCACCCATATACCACATCATTCACTCCATTCAACACAAAATGTTGTACGCAAATCTCACACCTTACTTGATCTAAGCACTCAGCATTATACTTGTTTAATCTTGAGAAAGGACTGGCAGTTCGCACAACTATTTCCTAAATTAAGCACTTCATAAGGAGCAATAAACTTCAGCATTGTAGTTGCTAGCATGAAAGTATAGAGTACAGATGCAGTCAAGTTCACCACCCACAGTTTTAATGATTAAGAAGAAAAAGGAAGGAAAATGCATACAACATTCTTGGGTTTTGGAACCCTTGCCGCCAAATGTGGATTCTCCAACAGTGACTTGCTTTCTTGAATTACTCTTTGAGCAATGACTGGTTGTGAAGGCCCAAAAAAGGACCCAAAGCTGCAATCCATAACAGAAGTAAATGCCAGATAGTATTACTATAGTGGAAGTCACACTTCAAAGGGCACAATTACCTTTGGGTTGTAAAATGTTATCTTAATACCTATGGGAAAATGAATGGGACGTATAAGAATTCATTCCTTTTAGCCAGATACAAACAGAGAACTAAAGTCCATAGCAATTAGAATAATTAGTACTCATAATGCTAAAATTTTTGTTGGGTCATTCATATGTAGTAAGGACTATAGATCATAACAACTTAACCTTCAGTGAAACTTTCACTTATATGCAGATTAATGAGTTAAGACACATGCATAAGATGTTTGTATGAAAAGACTTATTAGTACGATAGATTCATGGTGCGCAATCACAAGTTACTAGAAATATACTCAAAGATTACCGATCCCAATATATCCCATAATACCAACAAAATAACAACATTAACATTTTACCTTTAATTCTTTAAATGAGCTGACAAATAGTAAATCTCGATGCTCTATCAACCATCAGAAACATAAATAATGAGTAAAGTCTTATAGTTTTGATGGCACTATGGGTACAACATCCTCAGCTGAAAAAGTATACAGTGTCATCAAGGATAGGAAGCAAACAAAATGGTGAAGTTCTGATATGCTATGACTGTTTAATTTGATCAACATTCTCACTGAAATAAAAGTTCAACATCTAAGTTACTAAAAAGTAAAAACCAAACAAACAACACTTTAGAATAAAAATGTGCATCCAGACTTTTCTCTAAAAGGATTGTACTCACTTGTCATAGGGCATTTTCTTCTTTTTCTCCCGCAAATTGGCAAGTCCGGAACCTGAATCCTTCTTCATCTTCTTTCTAATAGAGTCCTTCAATTTTTGTCTCAATTCAAGGTATTCCAATTCTTCCTGTGTAGGCAACCGATCCTCTTCATCTTCTTCTTCATATTCACCAACCTCTTCTTCCTGGTCTTCACCTTCATCTTCATACTCTTCATATTCCTACATGAATGTAACCATAAGCAATGAAGTAAACTTAAAGAAAACCCCCCTAAAATATCAAAAATAAAATGAAAGATGAAGTCCAAAGTGGCTTACATCTAAATCATATCCTCCCATTGTCCTTTTATATCTTCAATCTTCAACGGTCGCCTAACCAACACTTCACTAGATTTGGAGGCCTTTAAGGCACAAACTGCATAACCCACCAGCATAAGATCAATCCTATCACCCGTATAAGAATTACAAAATGGGATTGATATCTGAAGGGGGTGTAGTCAAAGAATAAAGCTATAGTAAATATTAAGTAAAAAATTAAGCAAATAGAAAAACTCGATTCGAGGGATAAGACTTTTAGCTAAATTAGGGCATAGTGCTAAAATCAGAACCAAATTAACAGTTGCCATCTAGAACCCACATCACCAACGAAATCGCAATGCCAGAAATTGAAGGGGGGAGACGTAACTCAAACTCGACAAAAGAAGATAATCAAGTTCGTGAAACAAAGGAAGTTCGAACTTTCTTGATTTCACATTGCAAGATGCAAAATTCTTAATCGATAATAGCTCATCAGATCATCAAATATACAATTTTTTTGGAAACGGTAGTAATTTGTGTATGAGATCAGATAAAATAGCGAAAATAGAACGAAAGAGTTAAATTGAAAGACGAACTCACAAGAACCCTAATAATTTTCGATTCCGAGACTTCTGAATCAATCCGCTCAGTTCTTCAGACTTGATCGATCAGAAGACATGACCATAATCAAAATGGAAGCACGCCGATCGGATACGGTTACAATCCGGTGATGGTAGGAGATAAATCTCGGTTAACTTCCCGGTGATCGATTACGGCCTCAGCCCTCTTTTCTTCTTTCCTTTTATCACCCCGGTTTGGAGCTATTTATAACCGCGCAGATAATTTTTTAGCTGTTTTGTCTATATTACAAAATACACCCCTGATAATTTCGCTTAATTCCATTATTTCCTTATACTTTGTGAACTATACATATATTACCCACGTTAATGGAAAAGTGATAAATTTTTCACGATTTTGAGATGTTCAATAATTTTGTTTTCTTATGATATATCTCTTACATATTATTTGTAAAAAGAACTTCTACATTTTCAAGATGCTCTCAAGTAGATATAATCAATATAAGTATTAGAAATAACATAGTATTATTTGTTTTCCGTCTACTCGTAACGGGGCAGCTGCCCCCAGCCTCCCATCAGGCCCCTTCCCGGCTACTGGATCACTCTAGTGCTTCAAAGTATACTTTAGGAAAGAGGTCCAGGTAGCTCATTGTGATTTACAAATCTTATTTTTTAGAATGTTAAGAATGAGATAAGCAATCTTAATCATTTGATAAGATTTTTCAATGGTCAAAATCTTAAGAACGATATATGTAAATATATACAAAAGTTTGACTAATTTAAAGAATTTAAGTAAGTTGAAAGGAAATTTTGAAACTTCTGTATAATTAAAAACACTACTTCAAGCCACCCGTTCTTTTTTAAAATTTCTATACACTTTGTATGTTTAATTTAAGGTTCATGATGATATGTATTTTATAAAATTCACATATGAATTTTAAACTGTTTAGAATCTCGTTTACAAGGTGTAATTTGATTCACATGCAAATTATGGTTAAGATTCACATGTGAATCTATATTATGATTCATGATTTCATAAAATGTCATAGGCTCACGATTAAAACGAAGTTATAGAATTACTTTATAAGTTATGTTTTGAATATTTAATCAAAACTTAACTTTATGATAATAAGATATATTAGGGGGTGTTTGGGATTGCTTATTTAAAACAACTTATGTTTTTTTGTAAAAGTGTTTATTAACTTATGTGGTATCAAATCGGAGTTAAATAAACCAATGTTAAAATTGTAAACTGGTAATAAATAGTTTTTCATAAGTCATGAATGATTAACTTATCAAAAACAGTTTATTACCAGTTTGGCACCAGTATAAATAGTTTTTTTTTCTTATCCAAACACCAGAAAACAGATTATTACTGATGTCAGACTAAAATAAGTTAAAAAGCAATTTTTATAAGCAATCTCAAACACCCCCTTACTATTCTTATTTTATTATGAATGTAAATTTTTTAATATCGTTATCTGATTGAATAACATATAGAAAACATATATGTGTATATATGTTTTGTATATAACATACAAATTTATTGTCCTGAAAAGCGTTGCTTCCTTTACTTGGCATGTAAGGATTGAGACTTGACCTTGTTCCGTCATTTAAAACTTAGATATATAGTTTTTGGAAAGAGTAATTACATTTTTCATATATGTGTTTGAAATTGCGATTTCTGTATCTATAGTTTGCAGTTTGTTTTGTCAAGTTCCATATACCATATGTCACTGTCTTAACCCTTAAGAACGAAGACAATAATAAAATATAATCTATAAAGATGAAATTTATATTTGTAAAAGTATAAGGGTGAAAATATAAATTTTCTACAAACCACGTGGACAAAAAATGTAATTTACTTTATTGGAAATTTTGAATAATAAAATTCAGATTGCAGATTTTTAGCCATATATGGTAATTAATTATTGTTTAAATTTCTATAAAATAAAATTATATTAAGTAATAATTAAAACATAAATTATATTCGTTTTAAATTAAATATTCATAATAAAAAAATATAAATTTAAAAAAATATATAATTATTATATCCTATTTTATTAACTAAATGATAATCTATATATATTAAAGGAAAAACCAAGCATAATGAGGTGTCACATTCTAATGCTTAGAACTCATCCTATCTTTTTTCTCATTTTTTTTGATTTTTTTAAATATTGAATATGTTAAAGACTTTTTTGCCCCTGGATGAGAAATGTATAGCTCATAATTCACTGGGTTATTTTTGTAATTTTATATACCCAAGTTTAACCTCCAACTTTTGATTTGCTCTTCCATTTACTTTCTTTTATTTCTTAAATGAAATTTGTTTTTTAAAGTTTCAATAATAAACAAAATGAAATCCTAGAAAATCATTTGGTGAAGGATGAAGAAGGTGAGACTTGAAGAAGAATTCAAATATTTAAAAGGTATGTAGAAATTATATTCATTAAAAATGTGATTTGTTATTACATATTTCTTTTTCAATATTGTTGGATTTGTTGTTATCATATGATAGATATGATTATATTTATGATTGAATCATATAAATTGTGTTTATGAGATGATCATATAAATTTGAATAAAATTTTGATATTTTGTAATCATAAGATATGATAAACTTTTTTCGAATTTAAGCTTCATTAACAATAGCTATTTATATACGTGATTGATAATTTAAATTTTGAATACTTCATGATTTTTTCAATTAACAAAAATCATTTGGTGAGTAATGAAGAAATAAGAGTTGAAGAAAACTTAATTTTTTTTTAAAGGTATGTAAAAATTATATTATTTACAGAATGTGATTTGTTATTACATATTTTTTCTTTCAATATTGTTGGATTTGTTGTTATCGTAAGACATGATTGTGTTTACGATTTGATCATATAAATTCGAATAAAGTTTTGATAATTTATGATTACAAAATATTATAAAAAACAAATTTAAACTCCATTCATAATAATCATTAATAAGGTTGTTTTGGTAATTTTAAAAAGCTTAACCTCCAACCTTTTCCTCTTCATTTTTGGAGATGAAACCTCTAAACATTTTCATGTGTTCCTCCATGATTTGTCAATGTTTTTATAATATTAAATAAGTTATATTACTCTACCCCTAAATGATAAATATGTATTATATTATAAGAAGACTTTTTGACCACTTCCAACTTAATTAGCTTTAACCTTCACATTACATAAACTTCATAGGGATATTCATTATGTTATTTTCATCTTTTCATCTACTAATTAAAATAAACTTACAATAAATGGTGTGGCACATTGTCACAAAATGATTTTTAAAAGAGATTTTCTCATTGTTTTTAATTTATGAAATGTTAAATAAGTTAAATATTTTTTTACCCGTGTATGAAAATGTGTATTTCATTATTTTCTTCAAAATAAWTTTYCAAGCCAYAGATGTCCTTAATTGAGCATTTGACATCATTATTTTATATAAATCTAAAAGTAAAATATGAAGTATATTATGTGACACTTTGTGGAAAAATTATTTCATCATTCATTTTTTTTTCAAATTTTTAGATTTATTTTTGATTTAT